GCAGTTTTCCGTGATGTTTTCGATTATTACCTTGCGAATGCCGAAGCAGTACCCTATCCAGCGAGCCATGGGCCACACACAAACACACACACACATCCATCCATCCCATAGCCCTCTAGTATGTGCATACCAGCGGGCTATGCACATACTTACACCCACTACACTACCACACATATTTGGAGACCGCTTGTCCCTTGAGGGGGGGGTGCTCCGCTCTGGGTAGTAACGTAAGCAAGTAGTAAGGCGATAAAGAAAAAGAACGGGAGTTGCTCATTCGAGAAGTTAATTTTTGTGTATTTTTAGTAGCAATAAATAATTCCTTTACTTTTTTGGTCACAGAAGCAGATTGTGGAAGAAAGTGTTTTTTGTAATTTTCCCATTTCATCGCAGCCCGTATGTCACCGGAAATTGCGCATTTCCTAGACACGAAGCGCTGCTGTAAACTCTGGAGGCAATTAGCGTCATCTGTGGACAGGGAATGCACTGCAGTTCAGACGGCTTACTGGAGGAGCAAGGTTCCAACAGACTAAAATCAGGCGCGATCGCAGGGCCGCACGCAACACAGGACTACGGTAATTTGAACCCCAATTTCGTCAATTCACAAATTTACTTTTTTCTTGGTTTATACCCGAACAAGTACATTTTTTCTTTGGCAATACTTATAACTATATTTCGAGCATCGGCTCACTCTAAGCATAACAATCTGGAGGTTATAGAAGAGAAATTGTCCAGAAACCTTTTCAGTTGATAGATTTTCCCTGAATTCATGTTGTGAGTCACCAATAAAAATACAGTGTTTCTGGTGGAACAGTTTTTCTAATATATTTGAGAATTCTGATAGTAGTGATAGTGGCCTGTAGTTAATGACGTCTTGTTTGTTCGTCTTTTTTGTGGATAGGTTTATCGACTGCAGTTTTGAATTTTGGGAAGGAGACGTGATATATTACAAAACTGTAAGTGGTTTAATAATGTATGGGTCAATCCTTTTTGTAATAAAGTCTGCAATTTTGTCATACATAGTAGATGATTTGTTTACCATCGTGTTTATAATTTTAAGTATTACCTTTTCTGCTGTTTCATTGATGCACATACTATTTCAGGGAATATTTGTAAAGAGAGAGGGTGGTTGAGATGTAGTGTTTTGGGTTATTTTCTTTTTCTGGTGTCTGCCAGCTGTGTCAGTGGAATGTTTGTTGAATATACTAGCAACAAAATGGGGATGAAGGAGGCGCAGACACCTACTGCAAATGTTCGACAAAAGATCACCAAAGCAGATATGCAATCAGTGGCGACTGCTCCTTACGGATTCTAGAGCGGCGTCCTCCACACACACGCACGCACACATACACACGCGGGCGCGCGCACACACACACACACACACACACACACACACACACACACACACACACACACACACACACACAAACAACCTCGGGAAAATATGAAGAAAGTATTAAACTTGCAATAAATAAACTCGTTTAATTTGTTGCTTTTTTTTAGATTGGGTCGCGTCGTTAACTATTGCGAGTCTATCCGTAGCTGGTGCATGTGTGGCAAAGGAAGCTGAAGGAAGAGCTTCGTTCGAAGGAGAGTACAGGAAGTTGGGTGGGGTCAGCATGCTACTTGTAGGGTTTTGTTCGGCAGAGTCCGCCCCCTATTAACTAAGCTAAGAATACCGATTCTTTCATCTAATTTCATAAATTACTGTTTCGTTTGCTGGAAATATTTTTTTTAAAAAATCTTGTTTTCGCGTGAGCGCAATTGTATCTTCCGTTATCAACGTAAAAGTTGTCTTAGACGAGAATTAAAATCTGTTGTATCGCATGCTGTAGTTTTCCTCGTCCAAGAAATATTTCAGAGGTAAAATGTATATGATGATTCGTACGTACACGCTGCCCCTCCTAATTCGCAACCCACCGGCCGCCACTGTATTCAATTTCACTCTGAGGAATACAAGAAAAAGAAGAAGATGAAGAACTAGACATGTGGTTACCGGAAATCAGTGTCAGTGAAAAATAGACGTCCTAGAGTGGGTGACTGGAATGATAGAAGATAATAGGCTATGCTATAAGAGACAGTAACCGCTGCAGACAACCTATTCATCATAACTATAATCAATAATTTGATGCTACCAAAATTAGGGTTGAAAAACGTGAATGGCATGCTATTTCAGTATCAATGCCAAACAATTTGTTTTAAAGTGTTTAAAGGCTTTCGGGGATGGCGCCACAGCTGCCGCCACCGCCGTCACATCTACCGGCACGGCCACTGTCACGGCCACGATCACGATCACGGTCATAGTCACCGCCACAGCCCATCGCTGCTACACACTACCACTCTGTAAATCACTGAACCACTATAATTCACTAACTTAAAGCCCAAAACACCAAAATATGCATAATGAACATCAAATTTAAATAATCCACTTTTACAACTATGTAATCCCATTGTGATCACAGTGTTTATATGAATCAAATGGAATTAGGTTGTTATACAATTGTATTAATGTATGCATATTTGCATGTGGGCGAGTGGACATACCTGCTAGCTGATTTCATGGGTCAGAATGAAAACTGTATCAGATGTTTTCATACTACTATCTGGTAGTTCATAATCTCAAATCTAATTGATTCCATATTGACAAATCTCTCAAATACAACTGAAAAGAAAAAAGAAAAGAAAAGGAAAAAAAAATCAGGTGACAGCGAGTTATAAAAAAATGGTTGGCTAAAATTCTGATGATGTTTCTTTAGTGATGGAAGGCTAGACAGACTATTGACAAACCTGCTGATAATTGTGAAGTTCTCAACATGATGTGCGACATAGGAAATAATAAGTTTTGGATTGATGAGCCTAAGCTGTTGAAAAGCAGGAAGAAAAGTTAAAGAAATTGATGAAAAACTTTGGGATTAAAGGATCTTGTGATTACTGCATCCTGCATTATTTACAGCTGATTAAAAGAACAAATTTATTGATTTTTAAAATTTGTACTGCCCTCAAATCTGAGATTCTAAATGAGATAGTCCTTATTTGGATTTCATCATTTTTATTTCAGTGGGTAAATATCATCTTGGATGTTTATTACTACTGCCTAGGAAACCAACAATGCTTCAATATTTTCACTTTGAAAATCAGTTTCAAAAATTCATTTATTTTTGTTGTAGTTGAATTTGGTGCTAAAATGGTTGACAAAAATACCTTCAAATTCATTTATTTTTCCCCTTCTTCACAATTATTTCAGCCTGATACATACAATAGAAGCTGGTGGGGGATGATGAAAAAAGTTTCTCATTATGAGTCTACAGTCTCATACAGATTGCCCTAGGAGGTTGATTTTTTGGGTAATCTATGGCATTTCTGTATTCTCTTTCATATGAGTATTGCAATTATAGATTTGGTTTGGGGGCACTTTTCACCTTCTTATTCTGCTATATTCTTTTACTCTATACTAGAGCGAGGATTTTTAGGTCCTAAAAAATCTTGAAATATGCTTTTAAAAATGTGTGTTTATGAGGTAAAAATTCTGAAGTATGCACTTTAATATGCAATTAAAATTAACAATATTTAATATTTCTATAAACCTTTCTTGACAAACTGCTTTGCCAAAAAATATAATGTACCTTACATCGCAAGAGAAATAATTGAAGTAAATATTCACCTTAGTGAAGTACATTGTATGTTTTGTTATATTTCTTCTGACTGGTTTAAACAATATGTTATCGAGAAATATACTACATTTGCACAAATATTTTATCATCTATTGAAAAGAAAGAACAAAGAAAAAAACACAAAAAAACGGAAACTACAAGCTCTTTCAAATCAGTGAATGCTCACAAATAAATAGATTCTATGAAAAGTTTTATAGACAAGTCTTTATTTTAACAAAATATTCGCTTATAATTACATGAATATGCACCAACAGGAAAAATCAGCCAAGTATACACAAATATGCATTAACATTTTAATCTATAAAGCATCATATTGTAACAAAATGTCAAGAAATTTCACTTAGCTATGCACTGAAACAACGTAAAAAAATATGCAAAATCATAGAAAACTGCTTCCTACTCACTACTTTAATAGAAATCCATTGATGACCAGTAGTTTGTTGTAGACTTTTTCATGAATACTTTTACTAATTTGATGACTAGTATTAATTTAAATCTGTTTTAGTATTGTATATTAGATCACAAATGAAAGTTATTTTAAAAAGTTGCCTGCTGTTTATGTGTCAGAAAGGGAACTTCAATGATGATCTGATGTTTTTCATGCAATTTTGTGTTTTTAATTGTTTAAAACAGCTTCAGTTTTTATTTTGGAAGTGCAACAAATAAAACTATTCTATAGAAATAGATAAGTATGTATGTTATTGCATATTATGTTAAAAAATTTCCTGAAGTCAATTGTATATTATTTCCAAAAGCTATTTCAAGTGTTGTAATTGAGAGTTGTTTTAAATTCCTCATAGGAAGTTTAAGAAACATTTAAATGGTGGTATTGCTGGCTATGATGATGATGATGATGATGATGATGATGATGATGTAATGGTAATGGTACAGTTGGTGGTGGTGGTGGTGCTGGTGCTGGTGGTAATGGTGTGTGTAGTTTTAACCGAAGGAGGTGGGGAGTTGTTGAGAAATGCAAACCTGATTATATATTCTATGGGATTGTGTACCTTTTTACAGAAAGGCTTCAAAACATTCACTTTAGAATTCACTATGGAGTGCTAACAATTTGTTTGAAAGGGGCCATTTTGATTTTCAATGTGTGGTTGAGAAATTTTGTTCTAGAAAATTGCTGAAAATGACTCCCATTACCAACAAGAGCAATGTGAAAGTTGTTTGAATGTTTTGGAAATAAATTTAGTCCAATAAAAATAATTTGGACAGTTTTCTGGTATGAACTGTATCCTTGCTTTGTCTACAGTTGGTGTTCCACATTTGGTTGTGGTGTTTAGTTGGATTGGTGGAGGTTCTACCTTTGTAAATGTTGTATTCCAGGAGTTGCACAACCATTCACATGGGATGAAGGTAGCATCAATGAGCGAGAGAAGAAGGAAGGAGCTTCCTCCCACCCTCCCTCTGCCACTCATTCCCCAACACCTCCACCCCAGCGACGTCTTGCCAAGAGTTTTAGTGTTGCACCTTCAGCAGTCACCAAGGGTAACTATAGTCTTTTCTTGCTTTTGCAACACATTACTGCTTGATTGTATAGTTTCTGAGTAGTGTAGTTTGTTGTCAATATCTGTGGGAGAGCCAAAGCTTGTGTCAGAAAAGCTACTTTGCTTTCTTAAAGTTCTCTGTTTCTGTTCATAATTATGTGTATGCACTTTTTTCTTTGCATAATAAGAATTGTATTTAATTCTTTTGCATCTTCCAGTCTTTTAATTTTGATCCTTTGATAATGAGTGTTAAACTTTCTATAGCTTTCGAATAACTGTCAGATCTTATTCTTATTTTTATCAGTAGTTAAATTGCCTGTAGGAAAGACAGCTTTATGTATACATTTCATTTAAATGATGTATGTTTGAATCTACAAAGCACTGTGTGAAGTTTAACATGCATACATGATGCTTACATGCATCTTGTACCTACGCTTCATTTTAGCTTGTACAGGCTATTGCATTTATCTGCAGTATTTCTTGTAATCTTAGCAAGTGTGAATCTTTCATGAAATAACATACACTGTCACTTTTTATGTATAGAATATTTTATTTATAAAAGTAAGTAAAGTAATTGATAAGTTGTAGAGCCTCTGGTAATGGTTTGTGTGCTGTAAAAAAAAATTTAGTTTTTCTGTAAGGCACTATAATAATATCTGATAGTAGTTTTTGGATGCTTTGCAGCAAATGTTTTAAATAGGCTTTTCCGGAAATAATGTTAAACAAGTTGACACTACATTGGTTGTCCAAACACATCTACTTAGTACAGAGCGTTCAGGGCAGTAAACGATTTTAATGACAGCTTCTATAACAAATGAGCATCGCCGAAGACCGCATCACTCGCCGAAATATATTCTTCCACCGGTCAGCTGAATAGCAGTATCAGCTGGCTGGATTTTCTAATTGAATGTATTTTCATGATGTGAAGGTTAGAAATAGTTTGCACAAGAGATTGATTGTATACTGATATCATTCATGACGAAAAATTGTAAGAATTGATACAAATAATTTCGAAATGCTGTTGATGATATGTGAGACTGAATGAATTAAGCCATCAGACAGGAGAATGACAACGAATATACTGCTAAACCCATCTGTAGGTCTTGTGAAAACTATCAAAATTCTGTTGGACCTTTTTGATATTGCATGTTCAGAACTTTCAAATTAATGTGTGCTGTATAATGCTTTCCTTTTAGAATAATTGGTGTTTATAATTTCTATTGATTAATCATTATGACTAATCAATTGAATGGGTAAAAACCAGAACAGTGTGACATATTATAAATTCTGAGAAAACTGTTTATTTAATTCAAAATCACTGTGAAATCATGTTACTTTGTTTCATTACGGCTTTTCAATTGTTTATTAGTGTAATATTAAATCATGAATTTACATTGACACTGAAATATAGCCTACTATAAACATGTTTTTCTCAGAATTTATAAAATGTCACTTATACCGTTTTGATTTTCATCCATTTAATTATTAATTATTGACAGGAAGATTTGGTTAGTTAATTGTGAAATTATGGTAATGGTACTTTAATACTGTAATTCATTTCTTCAACAATTCATGACAGATAAAGTAATGCTTCATTGGAATGTTAGCTACGTAAAATTAACATGAGACCATCATTAATTGCTATTTAATATTTTATTACATTTGGGTACTACTGCTTATACAACCTTGGAAAATATTTACACTGGGTTAAATAGTTTCTGTGAGCAAAAAAGACTCAAGTTAGTATTCTCTGAGTTCTGATTGGCAAAATACACATAGATAATCGAAAGAATAATAACTTTTAAGTGAATTTCTTACATGTGAATACCAACAGTCAGTTCTTAAAATTTAGATATTGGCTACACCATGGGTTAAAAAGTGCTACGAATTATTTGGATGTACTTGTGAAGAAAGGATATTATAGGATGTTAAATAATAAGTTCTAATTTATGAAAGATAAATACTTTTCCACTTTCACTATGAACATTTTAGAGTTAAGAAATAAAAATTGAAATGTTTCATACCTTCAATAACTTTAGTATCTATAAAAAAAGTAATTTTGAACACAGGTTAAAAGGTATCCTAAAAGCAAATATTTAAATGAAAAAATAATTATCTTTAGTTGTGTTATGATTTCTTTGAAGGATACAACTGTTGCAGCAAACAACTTCAAAGTAAAATAAATTTTATCCACTTTGATTATTTCAAGTCAAACTTTATGAAATTGAAATTACTTTCCTAAGTACTGTGAGACTAAATGTCCTTAAAGTCCATGGCCTTCTATTAACTAGCTCAAAACCCAGTCTGCCAAGTTTGCCAGGATGAGGAGTAAAATGTTCTATTTTGTAATGAAAATTATACATTGGAAATTTTAAAAATAAACAATATTTGTATTGTAACATCTTATATAACAACATTTGATTGGTTATCAAACCTGACCTAATATCATAAGATATCTCGATAGAATGAGGTTAAAAGTTATATATATTTTATGTGTGTGTTAGACTTCCGTCAATTTCTTGCTCTTGTCACCCAGACAGCCAATTAAATACTGATTTTGGCTATGGAGGCCTCTCATTTCATTTTCTTGTTGCTCTGTGATTGACAGTGGTATCATGATGACACTGCTAATATCTTTTGCACTGGCTCCACACCAACTCTGTTGTATTTTAGTGACAAGAAGGGAGAGGGGAGAGACAGAACTCAATGACCAGCTTCTTCTATCTTTTCATCTTCCCTACATCAACTAATATGATTTATCAAACAGAAAGAATATTGACAGACATTATATTAAAAAAAAAGAAATTAAAAACAAAATTGTGTTATTCTTTGATTTAATTCTCCAAAACTTATTCTTATTTCAGTGATAAACTTTTTCTGAACAACAGTCTCAGAAGCTTTTGTACATTCTATTAGCAAAATTTGTGTTCCAATTAAAATTGTATTCCTGATTTTACTACAAGATCATTGAACGCTATTGAATTTAGTACATGTTTTACTCCACTCTTTGTAGGGATGTAAGTAATGTTGAAACAACTATTTTTTTGACTGAATTGTATAGTAGAAATACCTGTAAAATAAATTATTTAAAAAAAGGATGAAATGAATTTCATAAAGGCGTGTTTTTCATATTCTTAAAAGAACCGTTGTTGAAAAATATCACTTGCCAGTACAGAATGAACAGCTGCATTATCGATTACATAAATGGATGTTTCTAGCAATCAAGGTAGAAATCTTTCATCCACTTTTGCAACACATCTGTTGTCATAGTGTCATAATACTCATTTATTTCTTTTGACTCTGAGCGGATACTAATTCTGCATCTGATGAAACCACCTGTATGTATGAATATATTGTTTCCCTTCATCTAAACTTTTGCTCAAGCAGCACTTTCTACTCTTATCTTGTCATGACTGAGAGATAAAACTAAAAGGTAGATTGTTAAAAATAATGTATATAAAATGAAATATCAATTTAACCATATTAAACCACAATATAGGTGCTTAAAGCTAGACTAGCAGTATTCATTATACAAGCAAGTTGTTACACACACTGATCTAATTCCAATGACACAAATTGAAAGATAATTCAGTTCATGCAAATCATGCCTTACTCATTCACTTATTTGTCCCATTTCATATCTTTCAATTGTAAAGAATTTAATAGATTTTTTGCTTGTTTTTCGAATATAACCATGTCACAAAGCAGACAAAGGCCTGCCAAATAAACAATTCCTGCTAGTTGAACTTATTTTTGTAGTGAATTCTCCAAATATTAACTAAATACAGCAAACAGAAAATATTAACTTTTATCTTGAACATAGTTTCAAAATATTTTCACACTGTTCTATCTCTATGACAAAATATTTTTCCGTGAACTTTTTTCCTTTGGTGGAATGACAATACAATTGAGGGTTCCATGGCACCAAGACAAGTTAACCTACGTTCATGGAATAAAAGCTAATAATTTCTGCATGTTATTCACCGACCACTCCTTGCACGATCCCTGTGATATGGCGACAATAGCTGTCAAAAAAATCTGTCGCATGACTGAACGCTCTGTAGCAGTGGATACCTTTAGACTTCAGAAAAAGGTTAACTTTAATCATTAACAAGGTACTGAATACAATCATAGTTCCAGAATGCATATGTACTACAGTGCAATAAATATCCAGAAATTACTCTACAAACAAGTGGGATTACTTTCACCACCCACCACAAAAATACTAGAAATATAAATGACCTTACGTACTTGAAGAATTTCAGCATACAATCCAGTCACAATAGCATATTATTTTGAAAGAATATGGATAGCTAAGCATTTATAAATGCTGGAATATTTGAAGAAAAGATGCCAAGAACAAACTTGAATTATCCAAATATGCCCAAAATGGAGATTGGTGTTAGTCAAAGAAATGTTTTGATGATTCTTTAAATGATGTGAAAAAAGTGATTGCTATCCAGCATGAAGGTAACCATGCTGAAACCATGCTGAAATAAATGAAATAGAACAAGACATATTGGCAGATCTTAATTGTATCAAGCCATTGAACATAAAGAATATACGAAGGCAAGCTTTGAACTCTGTGATCAATTTCCCTGCATGTATATTGGGCAAATTTCCTAATACTACTGATTATATTGTTTGGAGTGGCAACTTTCCGGAAAACCAGAAAAATCAGGGGATTGTTCTGGAAATGTCAGGGAAAAATCGGGGAATTTGTGGAAGAATCATTAGAAGACGGAAAATTTGGGGATGGGTATAAAACTATTCCTTTAAACTAATTCCTTTAAAAAAATAGTATAGCATTATTTTTTGCTTAATTTTTATGTGTTTAATTTTTTTATCGTGGCAAAATCTGAGAGCTGACAAATTATTTTCAGACTTGTTTTAACATTTTCTTAAAATAGTGTGAGATACTCTACAAATATTACCAGTGGAAAAAAAAAAAAAAAAAAAAAAAAAAAAAAAAAAAAAAAAAAAAAAATTAAAATGCTCTAG